CCCCAAAACCCCAAAACCCCAAAACCCCAAAACCCCTCAATGAAGAATAAGTTTTATTAAAAAGAATTTGTAATATTTATGAAATAAATGTTTATTAATAAAATCTTGCATAATAAGGTTATTAAGGTGTAATATATAGTTGATGGAAGTCATAATCTCAGAAATAATAATATTATTAAGCAGAACATCCAATTCATTAAGTAATGTCTCTTCATTAGTAGTATTAATATATAGAAGCTTTCTAAAGTGCTATCTATTATGTAGCTTTCATTTCGTAAAAGAGGTCCTCTGATATTTTAACCTTCTCTATAATTTCAAATAATTCTTCTTCATTAAAATCTTCCTTATAAATCAAATTCTTGAAAAAATGAAGAGTCTCATTCAATGATTTCTAAATTAAATATTAAGATATTTATACTATTATTACCTCTTCAATTTAGTCTTAGACGAACTTAAGTATGCCAATAGCAACTTTATACAAGTATGGTTCCTTCTTGATAAAGTAAATGTCCCAGATTCTCCAGCAGATTTCTTTAGGTAGAATATTAGTGAAGAGATTCATCAACCAATCATAAATATAGAAGTAGCTCTCCAAGTTAATTATTTGGAAGTGGTCGTAGAGAGTTGGAATCTCTTGTTTTAAACTTGTTTCAAAGTAACTTAATCTCCAAGATATTTCATCTTCATTCAAAGCATAAAAAAATCTCATGTGATCATTATTAAGAAGAAGATCACAGAAGAGATCAAAGATTTAGAATTAGATCTGATCAATGTCAAAGACTTCATGATCTTAATCTAGTCTATAATAAGGCAAATTAATGTACAAAAGCTAAGCTAAAATTCTGTCAAGCCCCTTAATAAAGCCAATATCAGGTCTATAAATAGAAAATACTCCCAATATAACAAGCATACATTCCTTGAAATATTCTTCATCAATCTCATACTTTTCAATCTGACTTTTATTCTTTTTTATAAATGAATAAACCTTTCTGTCGATTGTATCCATCACTACCTGTCTCTAAATTAACTGATCGTTATAGTTATCTATCAACTCGATAGCCCTCTCATTTTATTGATTCTTGTTTTTCTCATTGCTTTTCAAAAGATATGAGCTTAGCTGATGTTTTTGGTAGAATTCCTAGGGCATGCTTAGTCTTTAATAAACGAATTGTTGCTTCATAAATTGATATTATTACTTCGTAATATACTACCTCTGGTTGAACAAAATAGGCCATACCTTAACTCTTGAAAATTTTGGAAGACCCTATAGCCAAATATAGTAAATGGAAGTCTTCAAGTTATTTGTAATGTTTTAAACTTGCTTCTCGGTTTTGAGTTTCTTGAGTTTATTCTTATAAATAGATTCGATCTACTCAGTTATTTATTTCATTTACTTATTTTCATCCTCAAGGTTAATTTAGTTCATTACGATGAGTTGCTTTGATAATGGGTCTATATACTTATGCAAGTTAATAAGTATCTCAGATGACCACAATCCTTCAATGATTTCTTTTTTGCCTTGTCTCTTTGATACTTCATTAAGATCATGTTTATCTTGCTGATTCATTATACGGTTATTTTCGATTATACTCTTGATTTTGTGGTACCATTCTTAAATGATTTCTTGACTATCGATTCTCAAGTCAAGAGATTTTCTATCCCCTTTCTTGACCTTCTTGCAGAAAATTGACATGCAGAAGTGATCAAAATCCTAAGGAATACTCTTCTAATGATCCAAAAAAACTTTTGAATGATTGGCTCCTATTCTTACATCAATGATTTGGTCAGTTTTCAGGTATCTATTTTTATCACTTGGCTCACCGGCTGCTCTCCAAAATATCTCAGATTCATCTTAGCTAATGTAAACCTTTCTAGAGTGTGGATGCCCTAATCTACCATATTTAATAAACAAGGTACCATCTTCTTTGAACATTTTCTCTTTTTTGTTATGATCGTCAACTGCTTAGAACTCCTTAACTCTTCTGAAAAACTTCTCACTAATATCTATTTTAGATTCAAATTTATTTTTCATTATAGAGTCATAGAGATCTGAGAAAAACTTAGAAGTCAATTGGCTTGGCAGAGATTATCCAGCGAAATCTAGGAAAGACTTCTTTGATATTCTAAATTTCTTAGGAGCCTTTCTATTATGATTGCATGAGTTTAAAGCAATTAGAGCAGATGCCAAGGTGTAGATATTGACTTCACTCCAGTTGATATTTTTCTAAAGGTATCTTTCACTATTCTCATTCCAGTAATGTGCAGAGAATTTCTCGATAATGTTGTTAATGTTTTAAGATTCTAAAGGCAGTCTCATCTTCTGGAATATTTTTCTTAGAGAACAGTCTATTTGTTCATTGTAAAAGCTGAATCGCTAGAAAAAGTACTTGTTTACTTGCTAGTATGGGTCACCTCTTTTCCCAATGAATTCTCCAATTTTGTTTTTATTCAGACCTTTAGTCTCAAATAAGAATTTACCCAAGCATTTAGCTTAGTATTCATCTAACTATTCATTGATGTTGTCCCCTAGGTCAATACATTTCTCTATAATTAATCGCTTCTTCTTCATAAATATGATTGAATCCTTAAATTTATCATTGTTAATCATGACTATGACTTGCTCTATGTTTCTATTTCTTTCCAATCTGTCATCCCTTGTAAGGACTTGATTGTTAACTTATTAATCAAAGAAATCTGATTTTTTAGCGCTATTGAATTGATTCATTTTTTGATGATCGAATTAACTCATTGTTACGAATGAAATTTATGATTAGATAAAGCTTCTTTTGTTTCTTGATTCTCTTTTCTTCGGAGACTCTGAAAATTTCAGCAGTTACTTCGATCCATTGTTTAAGTTTAGATTGGTTTTATCTGAGAATATTTCAATATTCACACTATCTTATTCCTTTTCGAATTCCATCTCCACTACTTCGTCGTTCTCTTCAGCTTTGTCTTTTCCTTCACTACTGCTATCAACTTTATCCAAATTAATTTCTTTGAAATCCATATGAAACAATACTGTTTATTTTGTATCCTTAGGGGATTTCATAAGATTAAGTTTGTTATATTTTTAACCCAACATATCTTCCTAATTTTTCTAAGAGACTTTAGCTAATAACTCCAGTTTCTTCTGCAGTATATTTTATTCAATTTATCCGAAGTCCATAACTTTGATTGCAGCTAGCTGAGATATTTCTTTAGTTTTCTTCTGTTCAAAGATCAGAGGAGTTGAGGGATTTTCTTTGAAGGTTTTTGAGCCTTTGATTTCACTTTTGGCTCTGTCAAATTAGTCACATTTTTTTCTAATAGAAGATTCATTCAGATATTCATCTGCTTGCACATCAGTCATTAGAACTGTCTATTTATTTTGCTCTATCTTATGAAGAATTTCTTTTTCACTAGGTAGTTTAACCTATATAGTTGATTGAAATTGATTTTTATTGTTTCTGATTGTAGTTTCTTTGTCAAACTTAGAGTATTATGAATTATTTTCCTTATCTTTTTGCTTTGGTTTACTCTTCGTTTATTCTGAGTTATTAATTTAACAAGGTATTTTCTCCTCCTCTTCCCTTACGAAGTCATCTTCTCCTTCAGTTTCAACTGCTCTTACTTTGTTTTCTTTTAGCAAACTGAATTGAGGATTTCTACCTTGGATAAAAGTTGAGTAGTTGAAATGTTGTTTTAATTGTAATTAACTTGAATTGTTATTCTAAGTCTAGCTAAATACCAATTAACTTTACCTCTAGTTTTCGTTTGCTTGGTTGGATAGCAACATTTCAGCTAGTTCATGGGGTCCATAAGTCTACCTAGCTGGCACTTGTGTTTCCTTATTAATTTTAGATGCTGTATTGTTACTAACGAATCCAGATTGATTATTTGCAATCAAATTTTATTTTTGTCCTACTAAATTAATCCCAGTTATGTAGGTGTCCTCATTCTCTTCATATTTGTGATCTTCCTTTAATTTGGAATTGATACTGAATACCTTGTAATTGGTCTGAGTGTTCTACTCACTAGGTAGTTAAAACATCTCACTTCTCTTGGATTTTGAAAAGAGAGGACTCTGTATAGTATTCACAACTTGAAAAGTATCTTCTTAAGTTCGGACTTTAAATCCTTTACTTTTTGTTCCGGATAACTCCTGTGATTCGTTCATGCTTAAAATAATTTACTGTTAAATTCTTAGTTTGCTCTATTCTTTAAAATCTATCAAGACGGGGTTTTGGGGTTTTGGGGTTTTGGGG